AGTGGCTGTTGACGGGTGTGCTATATAAAATAGTAAGTTTAACCTTTAGTATAGATTTGTTAGGCACTTTATGTATCTATCCATTTGTACCTCGGGTCAATTCAAATGCATGTTGGAATAATAAACTTGAATATACAGCCTGATTAGGTGTAAAAAAAAATAAAAAATAAAAAATAAAAAAAAATAAATTTCTTTTGATATTTTTTTTTATTTGGATACTATTATTTATATGTTTGAAATTTTCATTAATATTTTATTCTTTTTTATATAAATTGTATATTTATTTAAATAAATTTATTTGTGATTTTTGTTTTGTTTATTATTTGTAAAAAGACTTTTGCAAATTGATTTTCAAATTCTTGAGTTTTGCTAATAATACAATTTTTTATTCAATTTTTTAGATGGATTTTTTATTTATTTAATATAATTATTCAATATAATATAAATTTGTATTGACCTAATTAATAAAAATTCTAAAATATATTTTTACAAAAAAATTAATATATTATTTTAAAGTTTTAATAGAAATCAATAACTAGATGTGTAATAAAATTTTAATAAATTTATATTATAAAATCAAAATAAAAAAATTTTTTTAAACAAATTTGAATAGACAGCATATATCATTTTAATATTTTATTTAATATTTTTTATTTAATCAATATATATATAAATATAAATATACAGTATATATTATTTCAAAAAATTTATTATAAAAATTCGGTATAAAAATTTCATCATAAAAAATAAATTTTTTTTTTAAAAAAAAAACAAAACAAAATTATTTGTTTTTAATTGAATTCTATTTTTTATCGTAAAATCCATGATTTGAAAATCGAAGGAATTTACATTTACAGTACATTATTTTAAAAGAATTTTTTTTTTAATAAAAAATTTTTGTATAATTAATTTTATAATTAAAATAATTGTATATACAGCGTATCTTAAATATTATTATAGTAACATAATTTTTTTGGATTTTGATTTTTGCATTTCGAAACAATTATGAATTCTAGTAAATACATGTCGACAAATTTATGAAAATCCATACACGGTACATATAAGCATAAAAAATTTAAAAATGAACAACAAGTCGTATTAAAGCTATTTTTGAAAATATCTCGTGTAATTTGGTTTTAATAAACGAAAACCAATATACGGCATACGGCCTTATGCAAATGTGCAATACATTTTTGCATAACACTTTCCATGCAATGGTTTTTGTTTTTGATACCGTACATTGAGAATGAAATTTATTTGTCACGTACTATTTATAAAAATAGAAATTTGACAACTTAAATCGAAATACTGTAATAATAGTAATAATAAAGATAATAATAATAATAATAATAATAATAATAATAATAATAGTGTAGTAGAGGTAGTAATTTTTTTTTTCTTAATGCCTGGTCGTTTATCGGACCATATCTCATCATCTCATTGATCGCATGTGCCTGACTTTAATTGACTACAAACAAATCTAAACCAGCTATTATTACATAATGTTGGATTAGTCAACACAAACTTAATACATAGTGGATAAATATCTCCAATGATCGACTTAATTTAAAGTAATATTACAGTATATGGAAAATTTAATGACCAAATTGATTTTAAACAGTAATTAATGGTCGTACATAACCGAAAATAATCCCAACAAGAAAACAAATTTTTTTAACCAAATATCAGAGAGCGGTCGATCGTGCGTGAAAAAAAAAAAAAAGGATTGAAATAATAATTGCGCATCGGGATAGCCTTTGGACCAACCATAAATGCATAGCACGCCAGTTATTTGACAGTAAGTACCTCGCCAAATAACCAAAACAATAAGAGGAGTGCGAAGAAAGAAAGAAAAAAATAGGAAATGTTTCCGACACAAAAAATTAGCGCAATTAATCCATGCTTGCAAATGATACCAACAAATTTAGCGCAATTAATTCATGCTTGCAAATGATAGCAACAAATTAAAGTTGCTTTACAATCGATATCGAATTATTAGTCGCATCCAAGTAAAGTTATTATTTCAGATGATAACATTGCCTTTGTATTTTTACTTAAGGCAAAATTGATATTCATTAAATGATCATAATATGTAAATTAATTGGTAGGCATGGATTTATAATGCACACAAAAGCTTATTTTAGACATAAATATAGGAGATTTGCGGCTATACGTATGACCGAATGTTAATATTAATGTTGATTTTTTGGGCTCCAGTAATCTTATCGTACATGTAACGTCAAACAGCAAAACGATCAACAAGTTACAGGTAATCTTACAGATGACGGGTCATGTGTAACACACATTAACCATACTGTATGTGCGTTGAGAAACACGTATGGGTCAAGCCTCTTTCTCCTTGTATGGGATCAATTGAATAATAGAAAGGATTCGAACATGAATTACACGGTGGTTTGTTGTCCCGTCTGTAGCATTTGCTGCATGCTGTGCCAATAAGTAAATGAAATTGTATTCCGGGTCTTCCTCAACCCTTGTCATTGTTCACTCTATATTAGGAAAAATTGACAATCATGTAAAAACCAACCCCATCTACTGTACGTACCGCGGTTCCCTTATTTTGTTTAAACTCCATGGTTTTCTTTTGAAAGCTGAAGACACAAATGTTCATCAATCCGGAAGCAATCCCGTTTATTACAAAGTTTCTAATAGTGTGATGAACAAGGGTCTCCCGGGTCAAGTCGGCAAAATCCTGACCTAGCCTGGACTTTCTGGATCCATTGACACCCCTATATAGAAGGTCCTTGTTTGATGGATTTTTCATTTAGAGTTTCATTTCAAATCATCGGGCATCACATATGACTACCGTGACGATACCATATAATGAACCGAATATGTAGTATTGTAGGACGAATGTTCACGTGCGTGATAATGACGTCAGAAGCAAGTTTACATCAACTTGATGTATTCAATCATTCAATCCGTTTCACCTGCAGTATAATTAAATAAAAATCATGATACTTCCATTTGATCACGCAAGTATTACATGCACCACAAGGAAGTGGTTGTGCCTGACCAAACCCACGAATTAGTAATCATTCATTCTCTGGCACGAATGCTTAAGAAATAAGACGGAAATGGAAATTTGAGAACGAATGAACGGGGATGATTAGGGATTGATCAACGAGAAAGAAGGATAGCTTTTTAAAATCAAGAAAATTATTTGAGACAAATGATCACTGAATGAAAAAATAATTAGACAAACAAGCAATAATCGAATGCGAAAAGGCGTCTGGACACCGGATCCCTTCATTATGAAAAAAGAAAAAAGAAATGATGATCTAATGCGGAAAATGTGATTGTTGAAAGATAAAGTTATCGCCTGATTTTACACGCGAAGTCGCACACGCAACAATGCACAATTTCATGCTGCGTTCATTCATGGGTGTATCAGAGACTCTGAATGTGGATTCAATGTACTAACATAAAATACTGTACTGTACGCACAGTATTAGATGTTTCTTTGATCATTATTTGTAATTCATGCCTCTATCTATCATTTGATGCACCCAATAATGACATTATGGATTAAGGTACAATTAATTGTAATCTACGATGCGAAACACTCAAACCAATTACATCGTCTGTGCAAATTGCTTTGTTTATTTTTTTACTAGTTCATTATCTTTTTTTTCTTTTGAACGCGAGTTAAACTGCCAATTTTGAACTCATTCTTTCGTAAAAAATAGAATGGTATGAAAACAAATAAGGATTTCGTTACGCGCCACCGAGTAAATTATTCGTGAATTTCGTGATTATTGGAAATACTGTATGTCCCCAAAATGGACTCTTTCACCAATCCCTCTTTGGAAAAGGATATCGCGTTCGATTTGGCCACACAGCCCGCTCTCCCAAAGATCCATGCAAAGGTGACCCCCTTTTGTATCTCGACGTATGGAATGGTGAGGTGTGAACAATCAACAATAGACTTGATTTTTGGAATGGACTTGTGAGCACAGTATTTGGTAGAAAAAGGAAACATGTCATAACATCTGACAATCATGAAATAGAACAAATTGTGGTGCCGAAAACGTGCATACGACTCGCGAACAAAAGAAAGCAATTCCATGCAATAGAAGGAATGTGCCACCACTCATGACACTTATCGTACATGGGTCTTTCCACCTGTGTACCTACCGTCTGTACAATTCTACCCGAAATATGCAATCCTGTATGCTCCAATATCAGACTTTCCATTTTAACGGTGTGAATTAAAATATGAAGGAATTAAACTCTGGAATCTGCGTTACAATGATCATTCCACACACGTATAACCTTATTCATGTTATTCTTTATTATTATTATTTTTTTTATTTACAATAAATGCTAAATAATATTTCACGAACCTTAGAGGTCACGTGAAAACCATGTGAAACGACGATCCCGTTTTCTCCTAGTGCAATCGATACTCTCGGGTTTACTTTCATCAGCTTTTAGAGCAAAATATTTTGGTCATTCATTCATTTGCAATTGGCGAGTAACAGGTACACAGGTTGAAGGACCCATGTACGATTGATGGGATTATTTTTATATTAATATTGTGCGTAGATACATGTGTATCATTAATTACATTAATTTTTCTCCAAAGGTGGAAAGAACATCTTGCCCACAGTCACCCTGTTTTTTATTTTCCATTTAGGCGTGATCATCTATTCCCATTTCCGTGTGGGCGCTCGGAGTTTGAAGTCGGACGAGGGCGGAATTCGTGCGACACTCATTTACACGAACATGTGCCCGATTTCCACGTGAGGCAGATACGAAAGAGGGCCTCATTTACTATTTTTATTGTTTACGAAACGATTATTCGAAAGATTTGCACACAATGTTCACTTCCAGATATAGTCCATGCAACATCAGCTTACCCCATATGTGATGCCTTCTCTTGAGACAAATATTCCGATTACCGATATGTTTCAGTCACGGCAAGGTGTACAGTAAATTCCGAATTAATTAATTGACCAAGGCTTTTTTTGGAAGTTGGAAATCCTTGCTCGAAGTCCATTTTACCGACAGACGCTCACGAGAGAGCGGCCAAATTTCTAAAAAGAATGTTTTTGGGGATCCTAAAAAGAATGTTTTGGGGATCCTACTGTAAAAACATTCATCATTGTTATCATCGTTCTAATCCACGAGTTCTTGGGACTTTGGTACCGCACGTTAACAAAGAACATTCCTTCATGCCTTGTAATTTTTCCCTTAACGCATTCTTTGGTCATCTCTTGGTCACGTCCTCCTATCGGCAAAAACAATTCCGTCACTCACCTTAATCAAACTGCATATAATTATGCGTGAATTGCCCGTGTAACTATCACAAGACTGCATCATTATAAATGATAAAGAATGAGAAGGAAACACGGGATATCACATAAGGTGTAGTGTACACACACAAAGGAGCTATCGGTCGGAAGGGAGTGAAGATGATCGGGAACCCTGGTCACAAAATACACCCTTGAAACCATGTCTCAGGTATTAATGAAACCTATGATTTGCCAAGAATGATGGTCGAAACGAAAATTATTTACCAAGAAAAAGCCAACATTAATTATCAAAGACTTGATCAAATACAGTAGCATTCGAAGCGATTTTTTTTTTTTTTTCTTTGAGAAAAAAATTTTTTATTTATTGATTGATTGATTTTTTATTAACTATCACGAATTGTATTATTATGTATCATCTGAATTGGTAAGCTTAGACTTAATTTCTTAATTTTCTCGCTCGTATCACTCATAAATTCGCTTTAAAGAGATTGGCATAGTGAAAATAAATTGTTTTTTCCCGGATTTCCGGGTGTTGTGCTAAAAGTACAAAAAAAAAAAAAAAAAAAAAAAAAAAAAATCCATGCTATTGAAGAAAATAATAATAATAAAATAATAATAAAAAAAAAAAAAAAAAACCCCCAAAGTTTGTCTAAAGGTAAAAATTTCGAAAGAATCGAATCTTTCACTTTCGCAATAAAAATTATATATGACTCTTTGATGAATATGTTGATAATGTCTTGGGTGTCGTTAATGTTGAACAATTAAAGGTTGCTGTTGTTCATTATAGGAAAGACATCATGTTAATCGAAGGTGATGCGTGCACGTAAATATCTGAGATATAGGGGGTGGAGGAAGGACTTTGTAATATGTCGTCGGTGCTACTAATGCTCGAGGCATATTGTTCGAAATTTGGTGTTCGTGTGACGCATACATCGTTCGCAATCAAAAATTGCGAGAGAAAATCATCGGTTAACGGTGCAATAATAGGAAAGTTATAGGTGTGGTCTATGTGAAATTGTTCGTTTGAAGTTATGGCGGAGTTGACAGCATCCATTTGATTTTGTTCTCTTGGAAATATCGAATTTATTTCATTTGGGAATATGGTGGCATTGGCATCTGAATACACAACGGTGTGATCTGAAAACATGGCCGTATGGACATGATTTTGTTCATCTGAAAGTACTTCGGGTTCAGCATATCTTGCCGCCAATTCCATTTCGTCCAGCATGACACGAGAAACGTCGAGAGGTGGAGCCTCCATTGTCGAGGTCAAGCTTTGAGCTGAATAATCGTTCATGGAATTCTCAGGGTTGTCTGGTGATGACAAAGAGTTCGATTTTGGTAAAGAAGTTTTTGCCGACTTTTTTTTAAGTGCCTTTCTTCTTGCTTTTCTTCGTTCATTGATCTCCTCGGACGAAGGTTGATCAAAAGTTACAAGGTTCCATCTGTCCTTGCGTTTACGTTTACCATGTTTCGGGAAGACATCGTTACGAATAGCCAGTGCATCACTTGCGATAATTTTGTACTTGGCTTTCACCTCGTCACTTTCACTCGCCCAGCGTTTAGATGCCATCGTGGAAATTTCGGTCATCGAAAGATTGTAACCGTTTTGTCTGGCAGTCTCGACGAAGATTTTTCGGTAAATTATGAAGGCATTGGGAGATCTTGCGGGAATCTTCCCTGGACTCTTTTTACTAATTAGATTGATCAAATCAACACTTGGGGGGAACGGGAGCTCTATGGTAATGTTATCAATTTGTTTATTATTTTCAATCATTGTCTGTTAAATATGGTTGGTGGTATCAAGAAGCTACTGCTAATTTTATTTGGAAACGCTTGCTTTTTGTCTTGGAAGATTCTGTGAAGGTGAGGGAAGTCGGCTATTTATAAAAAAATTCATGATCATTAATTTATATGCGCACTGTAACGACGATGATGGTGCTTGCACATCTCGCAATGCGTGACGCATTGTTGTAAGAGATTTTTGCTACACGAATTCCGGGAACTCTACTATAATATTGTAACATGTGATCAATATTATATCAAATTATTACATATTGATGACATCTCATCCTCAAAAGTTAATGTCAGATGTGACGATTTGTCTTCCAAATAAAAAAGGTCATGCCTGTTACGACTTAAGCAAGCACCCACTCGAATAAATGAGCAAGCATTCTTGTTGTCCCTTGAATTGCATACATACAGCAGACTCGGCGTAACCTCGAGACTCAAGACGCTAGCTCTCTTTTATCATGGTTCTCGATGCGAGTATGCGGCACGTGGGCTTAAAAAAGGACGCTATTCTTGGGAATATTTAAAGTTTATTCTTTCGTTTATTGTGGCTCTTCACAAATATATGCGTGTAATAATGGTCACGTCCATCCGTTTGTATTCAGGTTAATTTCCACGCATATACTTTCTATTTCGAATTCACATTTACCATTTCCAATTTTTGGTTTGATGTATGAAATTTATTATATGCAGATATTTTACAATAATACATTCCTACGACATAACTATTGGCAGTGATCCTCTTTCCCATGTATTCTCTCACTGGTACAGAGCATCGGCGACAGCTTTCGCGCGGATATTCCGTTCACCGATTTGTCGTCGATTTGGAGGCCGGCGACCGACATAGATAACGGCATGGCATGTCCATCGTTAGTTCGAATTTTTTTGCATGGAGTTGGTCATGCTCCTTTGGATCCAATGGGCAGTCAAGGATGTATAAGATTCATAATTTTTTTAAAAAAATATATCAAAGTAGAAAAAATAAGGAAAAAAAAGAACTGGCGTTTATATATGGTTTCCGTGTTGGCTGATTTCATTGACACACTTTCACGATTTTGGTTCGCCTGATTTCCATCATTAGTTTATTCTTTTACAATCAAAGTACATTCTCACTTTGATTTTTGACCTCAAATATTCCTGCAGGAGAAGACTTTTATGGTAATACTCAATAAATAATCGGCGACTCTCTCGTTGATTCTGGTTATGATTTCTTTTCGAATATAGCATAGCGCCAAAGAATAATCAATTTAGAATATTCCCGAATTTTAGAATCGAGTTATGTTTGACCACGGTCGTCGGTCGAACACCCTTGGTCATTTCCTCTTGCCTAACGTTTGATACTTGTCCTGTCGGTATTACACGATACCCGAAAGATCTAATCTATTATAAGATCAAATTTTCCTCCGAGTCTAATATCGTAATTGAATACCGTCGATCGAGTGGTACAAAAATGGAAATGACAATTTTAAAGTGTCTAATTTAAAATAGCAAACAAACCCATGAGTAGTAGTTCCACAAGAAAATATGACATATCCGTCATTTTCACGAGTTCTTTATCCAGTGCACACAAAATTAGAACACTACCCACCCGGGTCCTCACCACCTACCCAGAACGATGACCCATCGCCTACATAATACCGTATGTACGTTGTACTATGCGCAAAGACAAAGGCAATTACAGACAAGGTTTCCGGACTTCACGGGAGATTTATGTGCCATGCTAGAATTGAGCAACGAGATCGGGGACTTTCTGTATTAAACAAACAAATTATACGCATTGTTGTATCTATGGAACAAGCAATCTGGTGAATGCTCCGTTGTTTGATAATATTATCGCTTTCACCGGTGTTCTAGATTTTTATTAAGGAATATTCCTTGTGCGTCTCACGCTAGATTAATGAACACAATGATAATTAAAAAAAAAATACTCAAATGGATCTGCTCTCTTCCTAGAAGTCCAAGAATAATCGGGTACCATCGCACAGATGTCACAATGCGTGTCACGCCGCCAAGCCGTAGGATCCTATTTTGGATTGATTTATATTTAGTTGCATCACGTGTCTCTTATTATTAGGTCAGCTGGAGTAACTTGTGACTTGTATGCGCATATGCGTTTTGATAAAAATGTTGTCGAAAAAAATCGTGGAAGAAGGAAGGGTTACATGAGTATGCTCTTGTCAAAAGATGACTTTAATGATTCCGGAATCGAGGCTCCAAGGTTATTGAAAGATAACCTTGATTTACCTGCGTAAGAATAGACGGTTCTGGTAGAGATCCCTTTTTAGGCAAAATATCCTAACAATGTCAATCAACGCACGCACACACCTACTAGTGTAATAATGAAAAACAAATAATTAATTACCTAATCACGAGAACGTTAAATTTAAATTTTCATTTGAAACAGGAGCTCAATGAATTTCGAAATTTGATTTCAATAGTAGAATAAAACATCTCGACCAATGTAAAAAACATTTCACGAGCAAACAGCGAGGTGTGGCACGCTTAATTCACACACACACACACATGATCCCAATTAAATTTCAATTGCAAACGAATGATCGCTGATAAGCAACGATAAAAATTTCCATGCATGTGATAGCAAATTATAATTTTTTCTTTACGAATTGTCTTTGCAGCAATACGCGTGGCCAAATATTATGATCAACGAATAATTAAGAGAAAAACTTATTGAATTCATGATAATAGGTAAGTTAGACAAGGTTTTACGCCAGATGATGGCGGATGCAGTATGCATCGTGATGCTTCGAATGACTATCCATGCACCTCATCCTAATCCATATATTCCCATTTGTGACGACAACCGACGACACGCCTGTCGTAATGACAAGGGATAACAATTTCTCCAACATTTAAGAGAGAATTCCGGAAATTCCGTGTCTATTGGCGAAAAAGTTGTTCGATCAAAAAGTACAAGTGTGTTTGGCCACGAGGTAGGATTCCGAAATAAAATGATGTTGTAAAGCGTAATAATGAATGCAAATCGAGAAGGCACTTTTAATCGTAACCTTGTGATCACTGTCATTTGACTAACTTTTGTTATACAGAGAATTCCATTTTGTTTACTATTCATAGCAGAAATGCGGTTCTTTGATGTATTGACGATGGGTCCCGCAAATTATTACCATCGTGTCGAGGAACGTGCGGTCGCGACCAATAACATGTAACGCGACGTGGACGTCGATACAGGATTATATTTATTCATAACATTTTGTCATTTCTATCGGTTTTTTAATTTTTACCCATTAAATTTTGAAGAATATGAAAAATCAATAAAATACACGCATAAGTAGATATCAATATCCTCCTGCATTTTTCTGAAAACTAAACAAGCGATACTAGTCATGGTATAATGTGGTATGGCCAAGAAAGACGGTTCTAGACAAATTTTCACTAATACAATCATTGTATCTTTCCAAGGAATATACGCTTTATTCATGATTGGCAACAAGTCTATGCAAATAACTCGTGAATTAAGAAACAATGATTATTCAAACGTTCTTGTTTCGGATAAGTGATCTATCTAATCCTGGTGTCAAGCCGTAAAGACAATGTCGCGTTTTTTTTTTGTTTTTTTTTTGTTTGAAATTCAATATTATTATTGTATTATTGAAAGTTCTAATACTACCAGATAACAAAAAATAATATCAACGTGGAATTTTTTATTTTATTGACTACCGTTAAGAATAATATTGATATACGGTAGTGTGTTATAAAATTAAGATTTACCACTAAATTGTTATGGACTCATTAATTTTTATGAGATTAAAACATTAAGAAATATAAAAAATTTTAATTGTTTTATTAATATTATAATGTTTATAATAATAATCCGTCAAATTATTAATTTATCGGTTTTTTAATTATTAAATAAAGCGATGGATTTGACCCTTGTTAATAAAAACGTGACCTTGACGATCACGTGATCGAAGCTTTATTTGGTTGTCACAAAATCTGGTGTTTATTTAAAATAAATACAACCTTGCGTTTATGCTTTGTAGTTTACAGTATAATATTAACCAATAAATTTTTTTAAGAAATTAAAATTATGTCAAAAACAATTGATTTTATTTTATTTTATTTTAATAAAAATACAAGTTTAAAAAATAGTTTTTAAAAATTAATAATAATATAATTTAAAAATTTTAAAGTTCATAAAAATAAAGTTTAATCTGTGGATCTATAGCACAGTGGGTGGTGCTCCCAAGTTTCTAAATACATGTCCCTTGTTCAATATCCACAAGAGGCAAATACACAAAAATTATCTTTTATTTGTAGATTTATCAGTTTTCTTACAAATGTTATATTCAAATATTTGAATCTTATCCAAACTTAAATTGCATAAAGATGGGATTTCTGATCTTTTTAACAATAATAAGCTAAAAACAGATTGAAATAGAAAAGATTGCATAAGAAAAAACTTTTGGTTTAACTATGATAAAAGCCTATATTCTCTTGATACAACAAACTCTATAGTAAAATATATTAATACAAAATAAAGAGTTTTAAAGAAAATGCTTTTCTGGATACTAACGTATAATGTAAATAATAGGTTCACACTATTTATATATAGGAGTTGCATTCTGCTTAACATTTATACTTCTAGATTTGGTAGCCTAAGCCAATCGAATTCCCTTAAAGTATTTATTAGAAAATTATAGTGTCATATTCCATTTGACATTTATACTCTTAGATTTGATAGCTTGTGCCAACAAGGATTACAGTTTCAGAGCATTTACTAGAAGATATATATACATGCAGAATACCTATTCATAGCTATATAACCCAAGTAAAATAATGTAATAAATTATTTATTAAGTATTAATATGTATTTCCTCAAAATATCTTTTCAAAAATGAATTAACAAGTTAGATGGTTTAAAACTGGTGGCAGGATTTTTACCTCCTATACAATCCCACCTGATATGTAGGCCTCTACCTTGGTATAAAAAGTTTATATAATTAGATTATATAGGTGAATTGGTTATGTTAAACTTATAGTTAGTAGTAATATTAGCATGTATAAGACCGTTCAAATATATGGCTCAAATATAATATTTAATAAAAACCATGGCATTGAATGTCCATTTATCTAAAATAAAAATAAAAATAAAAAAAAATAAAATAAAAATAAAGTTTAAAAATAAATTTATATTATAAATAATTCAATAAAAAAAATCATTCCAATTTATTAATAAAAAATAATCTTAGAATAAAATATATCTGATTTAAAAATAAATAATAATATAAATATGTTTTTTCTAATTTAATAAAGTTTTTATTTATTAATTAAATAAAAAAATAATTACAGTTAATTAATTAATTTTTTTATTATTAATTTATTTTAATTGATAATTTATATATAATTATTATTTTATCAAAAAGATATATATAATATAAAACAAAAATAATTAAAAAAATTAAACTTATATATTTATTAATATTTTAATAATTAATTAATTAAAATAAAAATAACAAGTATATATTTGAAAATACAGTGGATTGCCAAAAGTTTATGGACACTTTTTAAAACTCAGTAAAAAAATTTTTAAATAAAAAAAAAAAATTTTATATGATAGAATATTTACATGTTGACTATATTTAAAATTTTACTTAAATAAT